TCGCTAACCAGTTGCTTGGTTCTTTAAATTTACGATTGCACAAGTCATGAACAGAATTCCCTTTCTTTATTATTGTCCCTTTTTCTTATATTTTTAAGCACTGATCTGGGGTTTGTGTTTTTTTTTATTGTAGCGAGTTCACTCGCCATATTTCTGATTTCTCTGATTTTCGGCAACCCAATTTTTTAACTTTATTTCATGGAAAGTATGTTTTCAATTTTTTTCATGATATACTAGGATACTGCGTTGGATCGCTAAAAAAAAGAGCATAGCATGATTAAAAAGACGCCAAAGTTGATGAAAACAAAATGTTCGCGTCTAAATGCTTATGTTGCTTTTTAGAGGAAAGATCAAAGTATTTTTTACTTATTTTTTGAAATGTTTCCTTCTTTTTTAGAACATTGTAAATTTTGATTAAAAGACCTTGTTTCTCTTTTTATCAGCTTGGCTGATAAATTAACGTATAAACATTTTGGCGCGTTTTTTTCCCCGTTTGACACACATTAATTTGGAAAATCTTGCAAAAATGAAAATAACTGTCGGATTTTAATGAAATTTTCAGAAACTATTTACAAATGATGGAACTTATTATAAATACATTTTTTTTTAGTAAAGACATCGCAGAAATTTTTTTTTCATATGTATTTACCCACTCTAACTAATTGTACGAAAACTCTATAATTTCAATTCTGAGGAGTTTAGTGATTATATCAATTAAAAGCACAATGCTTTGAGGAAACAAAATCATGTTTTTGTTTTTTTTTAGTTGGAGCCCTTCTACCTGAAAATCGTCTCTGAAGTGTAACATACAAAAACTCAATAAAACAAAAATATTATTTAATTTCAAATGCTTTTAATTGCTTTTATTTATTCCAATAAACATGGACAATATTGTCTAAAAAGCAAAAAGATATTTCGATGAAAAATGAATTTTTAAAAACAATTACCTACAATTATTTTTTTATTTCTGCAACCATTGTTTTTTTTTTTTACATTATGTTGTTAATTCTTCTAAAATTATGGAAAAGCGTGTACAGCTTAACGGATGTTGTTTTTAAGTAGATATATATTTACAGATTATAATTTCCAAAGCTTATTACAAACTAATGAGTCTTCGTATATTAAAAAATTAATTTGTCAATAATGTGTTTACCAATGAAATCTACGGAAGACCGGAAGTTTGGTGCGTGCAATAAAAATAACGTCACGTGGATTGAGTTTCTGTCTAGTAAGGGTTGTTCTTCGCTGTATACGGCCCTTAATTTAGCAAACTGTTCCTGCTGAAACACGTGTGCATCATTTTCATTAAGTTAAAATAGGTACTTTCATCTAGTTTTCATCGTAGTCCTGTAATGTTTGGTTGAAATTGGTTGAAAAATGTAGGAAATTCGATCCAATAAACGTAACACACACAACCTGGGTTTTATAATAAGTAAGATTCACATTTTGCCTCTAGAAAACTAAAAACTTTTCAGTCATTTACACTGGCCAATTTTACTTTTAAATGAAACATATTGTTTGCTTTCAGAAAATACCTAGTTTCATGGGATTCAGATAAACTTTCCTGGTATTTTTCCAGATAAGTTATTTTTTATTACGTAAAAATATAAGAATCCATTTATTTATTTTTTCCGAGAATATAGGCTGTGACAAAATGACTTTTACTATGTTTGATTATTTTTACTGGGGATAGAAATTTTTTTTATAATAGCAAATCTGAATTGACTTTAGAGGGGTCTATATGGGCCCTCAAACAGCAGTGCAGCACTTGTATTTTAATTTTTTAATAGTATTTATAATTTCTCCAGATAGTATCAACAAACTTATGGTACATAGTACTTAACAAAAAAAAAATTGTAATGGCGAAAGTTTTTTTTTTTTTTAAATATTACAAGTTAATACTTAAGTAGGTCCGCTTAAAAAAAATAATATGTCCATTCTGTGCTTCCGTATGAACTCGAATCTCACGTCAGCTGTCAATAATTTATAGATGTCATCACTCGGCACTCTGTCAATCAACGGCAACGTGAAGATCGGCTCTTTTATCTTTAAAAACATTTTTCTACGAAGAAAGTAAGTAAAAGTTTCTTTCAAAATATTTTAAATAAACTTCAAATTTTCTAAATTTCTTCGAATAAATATTGAAATACGTATAATTAATTTTTAAACGAATTTTAAACGAAGAATTTAACTTTTTTTTTAAATTTTAAAAAATATGGCTGATATAGAGCTTTTTTTCGTTTTTTCTGTAAACAAGTTTTTTTAACTAAAATTTCGGACAGGCTAAGAATGAGTAAAAAATTTCAAAAATTACTCAAAAAATACTTTAGTGTTTCTTCTCAATAATGAAATATACTTTTATCCTGAAAAAAATTTTTTCGTTAATTTTCAGACCGTTCTTGTCATGCTATATTAGATTTTCGCGAAATAAACGGAGGTACCTATGATATACGCTTGTTTTAATCATATATATATATATATATATATATATATATATATATATATATATATATATATATATATATATATATGAAGATTTAAATTTTTCCCACTTGTGACGAATGCAGTTATCGATTCTTTTGCATGCTAGCATGCTAGTTAACATTCGTGTCAGTCAGCTGCTGGCTTTCACGCTGGCCAATAGAATCTTCCTGTCTATTCGTGGAAGACAGCTATAGGTTCTCATTCTGGCCAGTAGAAAATGACCGAAAACTACAAGAAAACTGCCGTAGAAGCATGAAAAAATCGATTATTTCCACTATCGATGGGTGTTGGGAAATGCAAAGTCGGTCTTTGCCTTGCAGCTAACTTGGAGCATGTGTATCTAAATTTTGGTGCAAATCAGTCGAAAATTGCGGCCGTGCATTCGTTACGCACACACACACACACACACACACACACACACACACACACACACACACACACACACACACACACACACATACATCCTGCCTTTTATAGATAGAGATGCAGAAAAATGCCTATCGCACACCAGTGATGACGATGTGTCAAAAAATAAGGCATTCTTGGGACCGGAAGTGTTACGGTTTACAGATTTTTTTTTTTTGATTTTGGAATACAGGTTATTTAATTTGTATATAGCATCTATAAAATGTGGCTGCTTGGGAATGGAACCCAAACATGAACACGATATCCCTTTACATTTCATAACACGGCTTATATATATATATATATATATACACTGAAGTTGTATATAAGTAACATATAACTTGAAAGTAGCTCATATAAAATTTAGTAGTTTATATAAAATTTAGTGAATTTTTGTTTACATTCATATACAGGTAATAATGCTAGTCACAGAAATTTTTAAGTGGTGAAATTAAGGTTTCGGGTAAAAATAATGCCTTGTATATTCCATACGTGCAAATAAAACATGATTGCTACTAACCAAAAATGGATAAATGCAACACCAAACACTATTTCTATATCAAGTGTGAGAAACTAGAACGGAAGTATACATCATCGATGACATCATTGTGTGTGGGAGTAAAATTCTCTACGTCTTTACCAATGATATGTTTTCATTAAAACGTTACAATATATATAGGTACAGTATTTGTATAAAAACAACATGGATTCTGATTACAGTTAAATGAAATGAAAACTGAAAAAGTCAGCATTTTATTTCTAAAACTGTAACACAATAATCATGCTACTATTAGACATGTTGCTTTCTAACTTTTTCCATTTGTGGCAAGTCATGTCAGCACCTGAAAAACATTCGAATTTTGGAGTTTTTATAAGATTTTTTTTTTTTTTAATTTCCGATAAGGGACACGCAATCTGTATTACAAACACAAATAATGTTTTTGATTTTACAATATTGAAATACTTACGAAACTGAAACTTTTCAAGTTTGCCATTCCCACTTCGAAAATATTTTATCGGAAATAATCTCTAGTAAGAGGTTAACATAGGGCAAGCTTTATTGGCGCGGAACATGAAATCAATGTGTATTCAATTTCCGGTCAATTTTCATTCGTTCAATTCACGCTAATGCCATTTAAAAACATTATATCATTCCATTCAGAAGCTAAATAACTCGGACGGCCGCGTTCTTTTCATTGAGGTGGCAACTAGCATAGAAGGAAAATTCTGAATTAAAAAAAAAAACAGCATAAGGTGAGAGGGTCTCCTTCCGGTTTTCTTACCTGATACTCATTGTGTATAAGTTAAGTAACCAGAAAGAACTGGAAAAGCTGCAGTAAAATGTCGTGTCCTTACCATATAATGATTACAGAACGCACGATGAAACACAAGGAATGCATAATACACGTTTATTTTATGAAGATGAATCATTGTAAATATATTTTCTCAGTCATTCAGATTCCCTATTCTTTGCAATATTGATTCCATAATTTCGTCTTACTTAAAAATAACGTTCTAAAAGAATGATTACTTAACTTATATTCCCAGCAACAAATGGAAATAAAATTGCTAAGATCGCTTTATTTAAGAGTTACTAAATTAATTCAGATTTTATATTTATATTTGTTATTGGGGCAGTGTCTCGGTCCGCTGTGACCAAAGCTAACAAATAAGACATATTGTCCTGGTATGTTCCCAAATGCAAACACTTTCTCCATTTTACCTTATGCTCAACAATTTAGCTTCAAGGTGCAATAGATTAAACTTTTCCTAATGTCGGGACTTAATTTTATTTGAAATTAAAATCATCTATGTAAATTATGAGAGGAAACACGATAAAGTGTTATTTATAATAATTTTTAAAATAACATTAAATAAATATTGATTAGTCTTTTGCTATAGTCATTAAATTTTATATGTATAATAACTAAATATTTTAAAACACTCTAACATCATTAAGAATATTTTTAAAATAATTTCACTAATTACTTGCTGTATTTCACAACATCATTTCTTTTTCTTTCGGAAATTCATTAAAAAATGTCGATAATTATATTTCGTCTATTGCGGTTTAATTTCAAAACAAATAAAAGCCATAAAAAAATGAAGAC